CCTTGTTGGTAAAATGAGAATGTTGGTGTCGATGATCTCTAAGTCCCTTTTAATGCTAGCATATCTTGTTTCTAAATTTCAAACCATATGGTAGTGTTGTCTGTACAGTACAGATACAATACAATACAAATACCGTGTCTGGCATACATGATCTTTTTATTGGAAATTATCGCATATGTGAGCTTGATACGTACGTGGAAACTTGCAGCCCTGCCGGCTGAGCTGGGTGTGCCCGTGTCAGAGTGCAGGTTTGCATGTACTTGGAAAGCTCTGCACTGTCACTGTGTTACTGTGAGATTCTTGGATGCTGTTGAGAGCAGTGCTGCAGGCACTGAAGACGAACCAGCTAACTAAACTGGAGTTAACTCATTTCTCCAAGAAGTGAGGATCGTGTATGAATGAAGATTGTGCTGAATGGCGTGTAGTTTCTCCCTTTGTCAGAGGGGTCAAGGCTGTACTGCGGTAGCTCCGTGCTGTGTGACACTGCATTCTGTTGCTCTCTGAATTGGCCCCTCCCTCTTTTGCAGGAGCTATTGTGACAATCTTGGTTACCATCCCTTAAGTGCTGCTGACTTTGGAAAGATCATGAAAAACGTCTTTCCAAACATGAAGGCACGGCGCCTGGGCACGAGAGGCAAGTCTAAATATCCTTTACCAGGAGGGTCCAGTCATCTCTGGTTCTCACTTAGTACACAACATCGATTGTTGTCGTTCGGCTAGCAACTAGATTTAGAAATCAGTGTAAATCAACAAATACAAACAACTCAAAAGTGCTTGGTAGAGTAATTGTAAATCTTATTTTCCCACGTATTTTAAACTTAAAGAGAAATAGCCAATATGGGTCATTTGTATATTAGGATTGCGATAGAGTTCACCTTACTCATCACTGTGATGTGTTTTTTAATGGTCTGATCTTTTTGTCTTTTCTTTAACAGTAAGAATTTTGGGGACATGCCAGAGTTCAACAATTGTAAATTATATGAATAAAAGTGAAGAAAGATGTTAGTCTTTAAATCTTATCTCTTTTGCTTTGTCTGACTTAGAAACATTGGGATCTCCTTGGCAAAAAATAGAACATTCCACAAAGTTTTTTGTGGACTTTTTACTGGAAGATTTGTATTCTCTTTAAAGTATTTTTCAGCCAGCCATTCAAAGCCAGTATTAAAATTGATGCCCGGGCATAGGAAAGGTCCCTCTTGTCATAGAGAAGTTCTTAGGAGCAAACAAAAGTAAAGAAATTAAAATGAAGAATTTTTTAAAGTCCTTTCTCTTCTTCAAAAAAGAAACAGAGGGTCTCTGTATCATATTAGAAATAAGTCATTTTCTCCCTGCTTATCTTTTGGTCTTTTTCAAAGCGTAAAATTAGCTTCTGTGGAGGAGACAAGGGGACTGGAAAGTGAAGTCCACTTTTCTGAATGGTTCCAGGTTTTCTTTAACCACTTGCTGCATGACCTACTCTTGTTTCCTGAATACAAACAAAAATGTCTTGATGCGTCTTTGGCATGTTACAGGTGATAATCCTGTGTGTTTCAGTGGAAAAAGAGAAAGGGAAAGGTTCAAGCCCTTGTGACACTCTTTAAGAGTTGTTTTTGTCCCGGTGCCCTGGGCTAAAGTTTCCCTTCTGCATGCCAGGTTTCCATCTGGCCGTTCCTTTCCTGCTGACCTGTTGGTTACTGGTGGCTGGCATAGCCTGCTAGGAACATTTATTCATAAAATTTATAGCCGATGAAAATCATTTAGCTTCATCTGAGACAGTAACATTCTACAGTGATTATTCCAGTTTCCAAAATGTAAAAGTGCCCTGAGTTTCTGATAATGTTTCTCTTACTGAAGAATTCAGAAAGTAGGTGTTATGCTAATTTTCTTCTTATTTCATACATAGTTACTTCTCAAATGCAATCTATATATAGAAGTAGTCCATTTAACTTCGAGTATTTTAGACCTTAACTCTTTATTACATATTGCTACAGTGGATTAAGAAAAAAAGCACTTGTTCATATGCCAACACTGCCCAACCTTGACTTTCACAAAACTGGAGACGGGGTAAGATCTCTGCCTTTTCTTTGTAATAAGTGGAATTGTACCATTATATCAACACTGAAATGCATACTGTGTAGGCTTATTTGGATCAAAGCTGGGACCAGGAACTGTATCTTTTACAAAATAGATAAACCAAACAGTCGCACAGTGGCTGAAAACTGTTAGTGTATCTGACTTACATCAACATGGCTGGCGAAATTAGAGGAAACAAAGATTTAAAATTACTAATTTATAGCTGTATCCATGATAATGTTGTCAGGAGTTAAAAAGCAAGTCGTTGGGTCGTGTGTATGTTTTCAGAAGAGAAAATACAGACTGGTGGCATAGAGTTAAAAACTAGGCTAGTGGCCTACTTTGTTTTGTTAATGTTAGAAAAGTCTTCTAGAAAGATTTAAAAAATCCTTTAGTCTTCATATGTGTTTAACAGCCCTTGAACGTGTTGCATTCGCAGTGCAGCTGAAGGCTGTGCGGTGGCAGATGTGGGCCTCTGATTTGCAAGGCTCGAGCGTGCCCAAAGGTCATTTCATACTTCTGTGGCCCGACAGATTTAGATTGCATCTCCTCGTTACGAGTGCCTGTCTCGAGTGTGCGTGAATCGAACTTCTCTTTGAACTGTGCTTTAAAAGTTAACTTTTCCTTTTTCCTCTTTTTAGTTGGAAGGAGCTGAACCTTCTGGGCAGCTTCAAAATATTGATGAGGAAGTTATCTCGTCTGCCTGCCGTCTTGTGTGTGAGTGGGCCCAGAAAGTGTTGAGCCAGCCGTTTGACACAGTCTTGGAATTAGCCCGCTTCCTTGTAAGAAGTCACTATATAGGCACCAAGTCGCTGGCAGCGCTGACCGTGATGGCCGCAGCACCAGCAGGTACGGAATTAACCGTTGTTGACAAGCTAAAACTGACTGGGTGCTACTAGGTTAAAACTGGTAGCAAAAGAAGAGTTTAGCCAAAGAACTTGTTCATCCCTTTAGTATTTATATGAGTTCACTGTTATTCACTTCATCACTAAATCCATACACATTTGCTGAGCCAACAACAACAAAATAATAATAATCCTTTCATTATAAAGCTTAAAACTCTAGTTTTTGTATGTTGTTCTGTTGCAATATGAAACAAGATTTCCCAGTTGATATTTAATTTTTTCATTGCTATTTTAAAAATTTTAAAACGTGTGGTTATGTGCTTTTAAGTATATAACCAAACCCATTGCCGTTGAGTCGATTCCGACTCATAGTGACCCTGTAGGACAGAGAACTGCCCCATAGGGTTTCCAAGGAACGGCTGGTAGATTTGAACTGCCGACCTTTTGGTGAGCAGCCGAGTTCTTAACCACTGCGCCACCAGGGCTCCCTTAAGTATATGTGTGTATCTAAATTAATAAATATTAGAAGTAAAATAATACTAAATTTTAAAATTACTTGCTCAAGAAACTAATGCTTATAAATAAAATAATCTTTGGACACTGTGAAAGGGTACCTTGGTCTTATAAAAGATAAACTGTCTGAAGCATTACTGTAAAATATCAAGAGTTTTTTTTTTTAATATTCATTTAAACGATACTTTCATTCGAAGGGGAATGTTTTAGGAATTGACAGTGTTGTTGAAGTTAATGGCTTCCTCCTGAATTAGTAACTATGAAACCATGTTAAGTATCAGTTCAGATGAAATTTTTTAATGTCTTGTTCAGTCAGTCATACCATGAAGCCTGAAGAAGAGCTGGCAGATTACAGTGTGTCATTGCTCCAGGGAATTACCATTTCTATGAGAAGTATATTATCATGAAACTTGTTTTCCAAGAATGATTCTTCTGATTGTTAAATCTAAGTATTTTTAAATCTAAGTAGATTTGTCCCAGCCAGAATTGTTGTCTTCTAATTAACTTCACTTTTTTGTTTTTTTAGTATTTTAACTTGGACGTTTTAATGCCGTCTCGTCATCTTCCTTTCAGTTTCCGTTCAGCAGATGCTTTAAGTGTCTGTGATCTGTGCGCGTGTGTTGTTGTGTGTCATTTGATGGTCAGTTGAGGACCAGTTGCAGCAAAATAACCTCTTGCAGGAGCCTAGTCATAATTTTCCTGACTGTCTAGGTGCAGAGGGTGCTCGGCCAGCCTTGTCTCGCTAGATCGCTCACGTGTGTTATCTCATTTAATTCCCCCAGCAGTCCTGTGAGCTACATGGTGTTTGTTCCCATTTTACAAATCAAGCAGCAGACTTGGGGAGCAGGAGTGGATTGACCAGTGAGCAGGGTCTCCACAGGCTGACAGTGAGCAAGGCACGCACAGGCTTAGTGTGCCTGCGTACGCATCTGTAGTGCGGTTTCACACAGGCCTGTTGGGTAATCCGTCCCTGTTGAGGGGTTAAGTAGTTTGTCTGTGGGCAGATAAGTAGTAGGACCAGGATTTGAATCCCAGTTTGTCTCTCTCCAGGTTAACTCCATTATACCAACTGCCTTCTTACTTTCTGGCAAAATGAGGCTTTAAAAGATGTGGACCCTTCAATTTTCTGTATTCTCTTTCTCCTCCCCCTTCTGAAATCTAGAAGAATACTTTAACAGGTTGAGGACTTAGGAGCAGGGGCAGATTATCTGTAGGTGCTTACTTTGCTAACCAGATCATCTGTAGTCAACTGTCTCACTACAGATTAGTAAGTAAGCACAAGTAAGCCGTGCTTACCTTGCTTACTGGGTCATCAGCCCCTGTCAAGGACTGTAAATTTGAAAAGCGTCTTTGATTCTGTAGGAAGGTGCTCTGGGATTGGGAGAGAGATGCCAGCCATACCTTAGGAGCAGAATCTTTGATGTGGTAAAAAAAAAAAAGGAAATTGTTCACTACAGATGATCTGGTAAGCGCCATACTTAGCTTGCATCTCAGATACTCTGTCCTGATGAGGAGACATCATGGAGAAAAGAAGCGTCTCTGTCTTCATCATTTCCCATGTTATTCAGAGTCTGACCTAAGGAAATGTCAAATGAATTGAACGAATGGATTTTTAAGTGTGAAGTAAGGTATGCTTTTTTAACAGAAGTGCTAAACATTGCACATGTGTACAGGTGTTTTTCCCGTTCTGAAAGCAGTCACCTTGGGAGGCTGAACAATAACAACCATGTAATTATTCAGAACATCTGTAAAGTCTTTTGAATGTTGTTCTCAGCCCTTTCCACATTCTTTTGAACATCTTTGGTGGTGATTCATCTTCGTGTTTTGAAAGTGAATTTGTTTTTTTATAAATATAGTCTCCGTGTTAAGAACAGGTTGTGTTTCAGATGTCCTTGTGTAAGTCAGCTGTTTGGAACTCGTTCCTCTCCAGAACTCCTGGCAGTTGGGATAAACAGCCTGAGCTGGGAGCCGTTGGCAGAGACTCTCAGGGGTGCAGGTGCCAGGGAGCCGGAGCTGAGGCTGGGATCTGGGAGGGAGAAGTGCCATTTGAGCTGGATTTGAAGAGAAGACTTAGTACTGTACTTAGGGAATGAAAAGGGAGTCGAGAGATGAGGGATTATTGAGGAGTGAGTGTGGGAGAGGGTTTACAAGGCTGTTCTTTCTCACCTTCCTGCACACACACACACACACACACACACACACACCCGTTATTACTGCAAACCGGAATAATGAGAAGCAGAATCGGGAAGGAGGGACCAGCTATTCGCCAGGAGAGCGTTCCTCCCTCTTCCTCTCCACCGTGTTTGCCCACCACAGCTTTCTAGTGATGTCATAATTGTATTGCATAATCAATTTTCTGAAAATTTTTATCTTATTTTATCATACCTTTTTTTTTTTTTTTTAGTGTCAATCTTACTACTATGTTAAAAAGTTTTCTCAGCAATACTTTTCAGAATATCTTTAGTCTTAGCAAAAAACCCTGCATAATTTCTCCTAGGTCATACTGGAATAATTGTATAGAACAGTTAAAATAGCAGTACCTATTTTTGTGAGTTTCTGACAGGATTAAAAAATTGTTTTGACCATACAGTTTTTTCTAAGATACAGATGATTTCAGCAAATATTTATTGAGTTCCTCTTGTGGGCTGAATATTAAAATCATTAAAATTCATGAATTTCTTTCTAATTAGAGGAAAGAGGGAGGAAAATCTACTGACATCTGATAAAATGTAAAACATGGTGTCTTTGCACTTACTGATCTTAGCTTCTGCGCATTTCCTTTTTTTTTTTTTTATTGTTGTAGTTTAAATGAAGTTTACATTTCAAGTTAGTCTCCCATACAAAAATTTATACATACATTATTATGTGACTCTGATTGCTTTCCCCATACTGTGACAGCACACTCCTCCTTTCCACCCCTGATTCCCATGTCCATTCAGCCAGCTCCTAACCCTCTCTGCCTTCCCGTCTCACCTCCGGACAGAAGCTGCCCGTTTAGTCTCTTGTATCTACTTGAGCTAAGAGGCACACTCCTCACGAGTATCACTTTATGTCCCACTGCCCAGTCCAATCCCTGTCTGAAGAGTTGGCCTCGGAAATTGTTTTAGTTCTGGGCTGATAGAGAATCCAGGGGCCATGCTTTCCGGGGTTCCTCCAGTCTCAGTCAGACCATTAAGTCTGGTCTTCTTACTAGAATTTGAGTTCTCGTCCCCACCTTTCTCCTGTTCCATCAGGGACTCTGTTGTGTTCCCTGTCAGGGCTGTCATTGGTGGTAGCCAGGCACCATCTAGTTCTTCTCTCAGGCTGATGAAGTCTCTGGTTTATGTGGCCCATTGTGTCTCTTGGGCTAATACTTTCCTTGTGTCTTTGGTGTTCTTCATTCTCCTTTACTCCAGATGGTTGGGACCAATTGATGCATCTTAGATGGCCGCTAACAAGCTTTTAAGGCCCCAGATGCCACTCACCAAAGTAGGATGTTGAACATTTTCTTAATAAGCTTTGTTATGCCAGTTGACCTAGATGTCCCCTGAAAGCATGGTCCCCAGACCCCTACCCCTGCTACTCTCTCTCAAAGTGTTTGATTGTGTTCAGCAAACTTCTTAGCTTTGGTTTAGTCCAGTTGTGCTGACTTCCCCTGTAGTGTGTGCTGTCTTTCCCTTCTCCTAAGATAATTCTTATCTACTATCTAGTTAGTAAATAACCTTCCCCCTCCCTCCCCACTCTCGTAACCATCAAAGAATGTTTTCTTCTGTGTTTAAACCTTTCCTTGAGTTCTCATAATAGTGGTCTTATACAGTATTTGTCCTTCTGTGACTGACTAAATTCACTCAGTGTAATGACCTCCAGCTTCCTCCATGTTACGTTTCACGGCTTCATCGTTGTTCTTTATCGTTGCATAGTATTCCATTGTGTGGATATACCATGATTTGTTTATCCATTCGTCCATTGATGGGCACCTAGGTTGTTTCCATCTTTTTGCTATTGTGAACAGTGCTGCAGTGACACATTTCTGACGTAGCTACTACTCTTTTCAGAGTCCTCATCTGCTAATGTCGGTTTAACGAAAACTCACCTGAGTTGAACCATATTTTAAAGTATCAGTTAAAACCATTTTGACAAATACGTATAAATTGGAAGCTTAACAGTATGTTTTATAAATAAATTATGAATTAAAATTTGCTGTTTTGGTTGCTTTGTAGTTGGCTAAATATTCAAAAAAAAAAAAACTGAGTTGTAACTGCCTTCTATAAAGAAGAGTATTTATTTTAGTGTTCCTTTCTGTTTTTCTCAGGAATTAAAGGAATTCCCCAGCCTTCTGCGTTTATACCCACTGCTGAAAGTAATTCCTTTCAGCCTCAAGTGAAGACTTTGCCATCTCCTATGGATGCTAAACAGCAGTTGCAACGGAAAATCCAAAAGAAGCAGCAAGAACAGAAACTACAATCTCCTTTGCCAGGAGAATTCTCAGCAAGAAAATCAGAAGGCGCTGCAAGCAATGGAGCCACTAACGTTTCCAGCGGAAACCCTGCGATCCTTTCTCCTCAGCCCATTGGTATCGTGGTGGCAGCTGTCCCGAGTCCCATTCCGGTAATGTTGTTAAATAATGTTTGGCATTCTTGGGATGGTGGGAAGGCAGTCATTTAACTAAAAATGGTAGATGGGAAAGAGGCCAGTGTCGATGGAGATGCAGCTCTAGACTGACTTCGTGGTCACAGACAGACTCATCTTCCGTCAGTTGTCTTTCACTCGGGATGTGCGCTGTTGACTACAGAGTGAGCTGTGGATGGATGTAAGTGAACACACACACACGGGATAGCAGAGTGTGCGTGTAACCCGTCGGCACTGATGTAAGTGAA